GGGCCCGTCCGTTCGCTCGCTGCCCGGCCCCCCGGCCGGCCCCCTCCGGCCGGCCCTTGCCGCCCCCACCTAGCAAAAGGGCCAGCCAATCTTTGCCAGTTTGGCAGCCTCCGCACTACTGATCCGCCTCCCTGCTTGGGAACACACGCGCGTGACAAACAGGAACTTGGAACGGCCGTTCTGTTGGAAGGATCTGAGCTGCCCCACCGGCCCGGCACTTCCTTCGCGCCTTTAAACTAGAATTAGCTCGCTTCCTGAGCCAGCAGGCCGTCCTTCGGTCCGGTCTGCCGGCAGCCGCTGGCATTGGCCTTGGGGGAGGGAGAAGGGGCAGCTCCTGCGCGACGCCTCCGCCCTGGCCTGCCCGCTGGCAGCGTGTGGCTCTTGCGCCCCGGGGATGGGGCGACCGCTCCGGGGGAGGCCAGCCGGGGGCGTTGAGGCAGGACCTCCTTCTCTTCTGGTTCTCTGGGGGAGCTGCGCTTTGGAGGTTAAAAGGGGCCAGAGCCACTGGCTGGTGCCTTGCTTGGCTTTCCCTGAGGCCAGTAAAGGAGAGGGGAGCACAGAGGTGGGAATTATAACGGGAGAAGGAGGAGAAACTTACGTGGGGCTGCGGATGACCTGGGGAAGCCAAGTCCAGGGATCAGCCTGAGCCCACGAACTGCAGCACGATCAGAAGGTTTCCCCGGGAACCACTCTCTGCCCTGCCTGCTCCCCCACCCTCCACCTCCTGCCTTTTACAGGAACCCCAACATTTCTTTCTGTGTTCTTGATTTCATGGGGTGGGGGTTCTTCCTGCTGTGCTTTGGGTGCAACTTTGCCACCAAGACTGCCCCAGATCGCTGTCCGTGGTTGTTCTTCAACCGTTTTAATGCTGCTGTTTTCTAGGAACACCAGGCGAGGATCCCGGGCAGGTGCCGAGCAGCAGCTGGCCTGGACCCTCCACACTGGGGTTTGGCAAGAGGACCTGTGGGTGCTCTGACACAAGTGCCCGGAGCACCACGCTGCCCAAGGCTCACCCTCCGACCTCTGTGGCACTCTGGCTGCTTGACCACGTTCAGCGAATTTGCAATGTTGGTTCTGCATGGCCAGTTGTGAGACCCCCAGCCCACCTCAGCCGTGTCGGGAGTCCTCTGGCAAATGTTTCATTCCCAAACTAGGTCACCTTGTGGGTACTTTGACACAAAACCCTGCGACCCCCACCTTGCCTTGCTCAATGCACAGCCAGGAGACCTTTCCTTAGCAGCTGTAAGTTTTGGTTTCAGCAAATGTTCCAGCTGTGCCCCATGGAATAAGGATGGAAAAAAGCATGGGGGGTGGGGTGGGGAGGATGTAACTTCCTTCCCTTAGTAAATGCCACAAACACCAGTGATGCTAAAATAGGCTGAAAAATGGGCCCCAAAAAGCTAAAATCAACCCCTGAAAAAGACATATACTAGAGGGAGTTACATGCAGGATGAATTGAACCCCAAATCTGGCCCAGGGCATCTCTCTTGGCATCTGAACCTACAAATAAACTGGAATCAGGAACCCTCTTCTCTGAACTCAGCCTAACCTCAGGGTCTGGATGGGGAACCAGAGGCTCCAGCTGAGCCCTGGCAAGATTGGGTGGCTCTGGGTTTTGGGGCTTTCTGGTTCTGGGATTTTACCAGATGGGGTGGCACTGCCCCAGATAGACCCAGTGTGCAATCTGGGGGGTCTTCTAGACTCACAACTCCTGCTCGAGGAGCAGGTGGCAGCTGTGGCCAGGAGGGCCTTTGCACCGCTGCGCATTGTGTGCCAGTTGCGCCCCTTCCTGAGCTTTGAGGCTCTACTCACAGTCACTCACGCCCGGCCACCTCCAGAATGGATTACTGTAATGTGCTCTGCGTGGGGCTGCCCCTCCGGATGGTCATCAACTGGTGCAGGATGCGGCTGCACGGACAGTTGTGTGCGTCCCTTGAAGAGCACGGCCACACCTCTGCTCCGCAGGCTGCACTGGCTGCCAGTTTGCTTCCGGGTGCAGTTCAAGGTGCAAAACTCCTTCATCCCACAACTCAGGGACAGACTCAACCACAGCTTCAACTGGGAAACTGTGAGCATCCCGGACCAAGCTAAATCAAAAAACGCTAGGGAATTCCTGGAAGCTTGGCATTCAGACAAGACAGCCATCAACAGACACATAGAGATAAACCACATCTACACACCATTCAAAAGAGACAATAAGAAAAAGCTAAGAAGGGAGCAAAAAGACCAGAACAGATCCCCCCAGCAGCCAACACCCA